GAGTGGCTGGTGGATTTGAATCACCAGCCTTCTGGTTAGCAGTCAAATGCCTTAAGCAAGTAAATACCATGACTATACATCTTTACATATTTCAACCCAGAATAGTTCCTGATGCAAAAGAGGACCTCAAATATCTAACTGTGTGGAATAACACATTATGGCTGTATAGTCTTCTATGCTTTAAAGTGCTTAATGTTCATTATTTTATTTGAGCTTCGAAGCTGATTCCGAGAAATACTGTCTTTTCGTGAGCTGAACTAAGGGCTTTGCCTCTAAAATCTGTTAATAAGCATCTTGTCTGAATTAGATAAAAATATTAATGTGCTACTTTATTTTTTTCGTTTTTGAACTCCCTTCCCACCTCATCTTTTTTTCCCCCTTTCAAAGCTTTGACTTCTGTGATAATGGTATACCTGATTTAGAATGGAATTAAGCTTTATTATTTTAAATTACTTATGATTCTAAGAAAAATAGCTTGACTTCAGGAGTTCAGGTTTTAGAGGAGATTACACTGCTCACAGCAAATGCATGATGTAGGTAGAGCATATTGTTTTACCTCCTTTTATTGGGCGGGGATGCATTTCTTGCTTGAAAATTACATCCTGGGCAATGTAGTGTCCCTGCTGCTGCTGCTATTGCCAGCTCCAACTCATGGCGACCCCATGTACAACACAATGAAACGCTGCCCAGTCCTGCACCATCCTCACAGTCCTTGCTGTGCTTCAGCCCATCATTGCAGCCACTGTGTCAGTCCATCTCGTGGAGGGTCTTCCCCTTTTTCACTGACCCTCTACTTTACCAAGCATGGTATCATTGTCCAAGGAATGGTCCTTTCTGGCAGCATGACCCTAGTAGGTGAGATGAAATCTGGCCATTTTCGCTTCCAAGGGGTGTTCAGGCTGCACTTCTTCCAGGATAGATTTTTTATTCTTCTGGGTGTCCATGGTATTTTCAGTATTCTTCGCCAACACCCCAAATGGAAGGCATCAACTCTTCTGCAGTCTTCCTTATTCATTGTCCAGCTCTCACGTGCATATGAGGTGATTGAAAATACCATGGCTTAGGTTTGTTGCACCTTGGTCTTCAAAGTGACATCTTTGCTTCTTAACACTTTAGAGAAGTTTACTGCAACACATTTGTCAACGTGATACATTGTTTGATTTCCTGACTGCTGCTTCCATGGGAGGTGATTGTGGATCAAAGTAAAAGGAAATCCCTAACAACTTCAATCCTTTCTCCATTTATCGTGATGTTGCTTATTGGTTCAGTTTTTGTCTTTTTTTATGTTGAGGTGTAATCCATACTGAAGACTATAGTCTTTGATCTTCATCAGTATATTCCTAGTGTGCCTTAATTTATTTCACTCCCTCATCACTTCTGTAACCTTTTATTATTACTGTGTTTTAAATGATGAGACTATCACACAAGAAAAGGAGAAGCTCAGCCTATAGGACTCTAAAATTCATGAGTCTTTCCGCTGTACATGATAGTTACTAGTGTTATATTGTCTAATCATTACCATTAGAAGCTTCTTCAGTGTAGAGATTATGTTTTATTTACTTTTCCTCCCTTATAAGAAGTTCCATGACTGAAAGGAGCTGTGTCCCTCTCATCTCAGTGAACTTTGCCTGCCAGGTTTGACTTTTGCTCATATGTCCAACTTTTGCCCAAACTATTGTCAGTACTTCTAATTACTTACCTTCTGTTGTACACTAGTACATGTATTTCTTTGTCATTGAGTTATAACTCAAACTCTTCCTAAAATCTACCTTCAAATGAGGCTCTGAAATTAAAAAAAAAAAAAAAAGCTGGGAAAGAGTTGTTTAAAACTCTCTGAGATAACAGTTCATATTTAAAAATGCTCATTATTAATTCCAATATAAAATTATTTGCAGTTGTTTTTAACACATTAGGACAGCCAAAGTAAAATTAGAAGGTAACTCACCAGGAGATTTTTAAGTGTAGAGTACAGAAGAGTCGAGAACAGGAGAACTTATTCCTGATGAGCTGAGGGTATGTTTAGAAAAAGATACAGCAATCTTAATTAAAAAAAAAAAATGTTCCAAGTGGTTGGTATATTTGTACAAAACTGAACTCTCATCTTCTTGGAGGCACCCTCTACTACTATGGCATACTGATTGAATAAACATAGTGCCTAAGGCACTTGGCTGCTGACCAGAAGGCTGGAGGTTCAAACCCACCAGCCACTCCTCAGAAGGAAGGTGGGGCAATCTACTTCCATAGTGATACTGCCTCGGAAACCCAAGGAGGGGTCGCTATGAGTCGGGTCCGACTCGACGGCATATAACAACAACAACAACAAATATATCTTGTTAAAAAATTATCTTAAATAATTTAACATTTTTATATTAATACAGCAAATACTGACTATAAATATGGAGGCATAGAAATGGAACTGTGTCCTTAAAGTTGAAGGAAAACTATTGTGGCTACTTAAAGAAAAATGTATTTATTACCCAGTGAATGGGCGGGAACAATAAAACCTTAGAAGGAACTTTGTTGAGAGCTCTGGTGCCACAGTGCCTAAGGCATCTGACTACTAACCAGGAGGTTGGCAGTTCAAACTCACCAGCTATGTGGAGAAAAGATGGGACAGTCTGCTTCCGTAAAGATTTGCCACCTTGGAAACCCAATGTGGGTCGCTATTAGTTGACATAAACTTGATGGCAGTGAGTTTTTTGAAGATATATATATACCAATAGGAGCCCTGGTAGCATAGTGCCTAAGGCACCCGACTGCTAACCAGAATGCTGGCGGTTCAAATCCACCAGCCAATCCTCGGAAGGAAGGTTGGGCAATCTACTTCCGTAGTGATACTTCCTCCGAAACCCAAGGAGGGGTTGTTATGATTCGGGGCTGACTCAACAGCACATGACAGCAACATATAAACCAAACCAAAGTCCCTAGCATTGAGTTGGATCCGACTCATAGCTACCTCTCCTTGGGTTTCCGAGGCGGTATCACTATGAAAGGAGATAGCCCAGTCTTCCTTCCCAGTTGCTGGCTGGTGGGTTTGAACCACCAGGCTTCTGGTTAGCAGTCAAATGCTTTACGCAGTACACCACCAGAACTCCCATATACACATATATGTGTGTCTATATGTACATACATATAGACACACATGTATGTATGTATACATATGTATGTATACACACATGTATGTGTGTGTGTGTATGTATGAATCAACTGAAAAAATAATGTAACTAAAATTGTCAATCATTAAGATTTCTATGTCTTTGTTTCTAAATTAACTCATTTTTGGAGATGAAAATAGCCTTGATATCTCTTGGCGCTCCATGCTAGTTTTACTTGTGTTTTGTTTGTTTTCCCAGTCTTGAAATCCTTCACTCCCAGTGTACAGACCTGTAGTGAAAGCTTGGAAACAAACCAGAAATTCACGGAGTTGCCCCATTCCCTTAATGCTAAAGATAATGAGAGGCTTCATGGATATCAAATTTGGACTAACTGGTTCACTAATGTTAATTCAGGGGCTTTTCTTGAGAGGAGTTAGTCTTTAGATCACCTGAGGGAGAGAAAAAAATGTGGGAATGAGACTGAGATTCCATTGTTTTCAGATTTCTGGCTTATTCCCTGACTTCTTCTCTTCTTATTTTCTGTTGTTGTTTTAATTTTGTTATTCAGAAAACCATACAGATATTGGTATTTCAGATTCTTAAGAGATGTTTTAAATGAGGATAGAAAGGATAGGGAACATATGGTAAAGTGTCTATTAATAAAAAAAGAAATAAAAGAATATGAATGTGAACTCTGTAATACCTTTTGGCAGAGTGTCTGCATTGTAAGTAGCATGTTAATTTCTTATTATGAAAGAATTTTTATTTTTTTAAAAAAAATGACTTTGATTTGAACAAATTTCATTGCTGATGAAAACTCTTAGCAATTCTATGGTTGAGATGCAGAATAAGAATGTGGGAGCACATTTAAGAATGAGATTTGTGAATAACTTTCAAAATGGATTCACTTTCTGTAAGTTTACTATATGAAATGAGGATTGAAATGTGTCCCTTGAAACTGCAATAGCTTTACAGGGTTGGAGAATTACCTCTGAATATTGATAAGGGGAAATCATTTTTTAAGCATTCTCCACTTTTTCCCCAAGAGAAAACAAATAAAAAGTTAACTTTTGTATGAGAATGATATTTAAACCACAATGTATTTTTTTCTTTTTTAGATTTTTCTCTATCGTGGCCATTTTTCATATGGAAACAAATTATTTTAGGCCTAATTGCTGTCAGAGTAGTTAGAGGCCACTAGCTCTGCTAAGATTGAATTTCATTTGAACTTTCTAGTAGTATGATCCTTTTTTGAATTTAATAACTGACTCAAATATTTATTAGTGGGAGCTTTCATTAAATTAAAAGGAAATCAGGATATATTTTTAAAAGAACTAACTTATTTCCCTTATCAGTGTTACAACTTTAGAAAAAAAGGAAAAGAATGAAACCAATCATTTTGTGTACTTCAGTAGACATTAATGCTGTAACTCCAGCAAATAATTTATTTCCCTATACATCATCATTCAAAAGACTTGGGAAGCACCACATGGCAGTAATAACTGTCCTTCTAGCTAGCTGTATGGAATACCAAATTGCGCCGACTATGTGAACCTCTTCACTCGTCTGCTTAATCATTCTTTTTACTACTCAATATATTTTCTAGATGAGTTTTATATGGGACACTGTTAACTTTTGCATTGCCTAAGAGTTTTCTGTTGAAGACAATGCAAGGTTTGAAATGCAAGTGGAGAGAGATGAGAATTGAAAGATTTTATTTCCATGAGTCATTCTATAAATAGATGACAAAAGATCATTAACTGGATTAATTTACAAGCACCCTTAGAAAGAGAATGTTTCTACATAAAAGCATGTTGTAAACCTTTTTAATTAAATTGCATTGTGTCACGCACTCTCTTCCCCCCAGGGTTCTTTTGACCCCTCACCTCTTATTTTATCCTGCAGGCACTCCACTGTTGGTGCGGAGAAGCAGTGACCCAGCACCTGGCCCACCTGCTGATGTCCAGCCAAGTGCTTCACACCCCAGTGGCCAGAGTTTGAAACCTGTTGTTCTAGTAGGTATCCTGCCGTTTGCCTTTCTAAGGAAAGATCAAAGTGTCTTATCCATAGGCTGACTTAACTTTACAATCTTAAATCAGGGAATCATTTTATAAAGATCTTTTGGTAGAATATGTAGTATTAGTTGTGATAACAGCTAGTATGAACTGTAACTGGGATGTAGTTAAAATGATAGCTATTGTTTACATAGCACTGGTTATGAACCAAACATTTTTTAAAATGCTTTACACATATCTAAACTTCCATGTCAAGGTAAATGTATATTTTTAATCTCCATTTTATTGATAATGAAATTGAAGTAAAGCAGGATTTGGTAACTTACCTACAGTCACAAAGCTGGTAGGTGGAAGAGACAGGAATTTAACCCAGGTGATTTCACTCCACATTTTATGCTCTTAACTGGTGCATTTTTCACCAGTTGCCATCTAAGCATTTCCCACTCACGGCCATCCTGTGTGTGTCAGAGTAGAACTGTGCTCCTGAAGATAGTCAGTGGCTGAGTTTTGGGAAGAAGATTGCCAGGCATTTGTACCTAGGCATCTCTGGGGGTATTCAAACCTCCAACTTTTTGGTTAGCAGCCAAGGATATAAACCATCAGCTATTAGATTTCCTTTAACCTCCTACTTTATAATGCCTAACCAACAAAAACCAAACTCACTGCTGTTAAGTCATTTCCAACTCATAGTGACCCCTCCTTGGGTTTCTGAGGTGGTATTTCTATAGAAGTAGATTGCCTCATCTTTCTTCTGAGGAGGGGCTGGTGGGTTTGAACCACCAGCCTTCTGGTTAGCAGTCAAATGCTTTAGGCACTATGCCACCAGAGCTCCCTCATAACGCCTAAGGATGTAGTTTATATATTTTCAGTCTCTTGAAGCAATGCTTCACAAAGTCATACCATAGGGAATGGTTATACCGATGTAAGCTACCATAATCATGGAATGTGGTACAGGTTTTGGGCTTCTAAAACTTAACATTCAAATTGGAGAACAATATTATTGTATTTCAGAATTGCTTACAACCAGATACACTTCTAACTGATAAGTTACGTGAAGAATAGTTTCCTGAAGAGATGCTGTCTTCTTGTCATATAGGATGGTGGGATTTTCTGCTGAATATTGAGTTCCTTTGAAGAAGTGTAATTGTGGTTTCACACATGCAGATAGCTGCAAAGTTAGATTTTGGTTAATGGTTCTATTTGAGTAGAATGTCGTTGTTGTTGTTTGGTGCCGTCGAGTCGGACCCAGCTCATAGCGACCCCTCCTTGGGTTTCCGAGGCAGTATCACTATGGAAGTAGATTGCCCAACCTTCCTTTTGAGGAGTGGCTGGTGGGTTTGAACTTCCAGCCTTCTGGTTAGCAGTCAAGTGCCTTAGGCACTATGCTACCAGAGCTCCTATGAGTAGAATAGGTCATCTTCAATAATATGTTGTTGTTGTTATGTGCTGTGAAGTTTGACCGACTCATAGTGACCCCTCCTTGGGTTTCCGAGGCAGTATCACTACAGAAGTAGATTGCCCCATCTTCCTTCCAAGGAGTGGCTGGTGGGTTTGAACCACTAGCCTTCAAAATTTTCTAAAATCACAACTCTTTCCCATTTTAAATCTCACTGTCTATAATTCCTAAAGGAAGAGGGGAACATTTTATAATTATATAAGGATGCTGAGTAAATGAAAGGGATTCTCCCTGTTTGTTGTATGCTATTGTTATCATAAACTAGTGTCAAAGTGTATGATGATATGCTGATACCAAATCATTAGGCGTTTAGTAATTTGTGGCAATATTTTAGTATATTTCTTTTCCTAAACAATGAAGCAAGTGTTCTGAAAGTATTTTAGATGTAATGTTTTCTCACTATCCTACTTAACACTCTATCCTTTTAAAGAAATATATTTAATGGAACATTAATAAAAATCAGATGTGTGTTTTTTACTTTAATGATGAGTACAAACAAAACCAGTATGTGGTATGTCTCTTTTAAAAGCAAACAAACAAACAAACAAAACACTTTGATTGAGACCATATTAATCTTGAATATGTTGGACTGAGGGAAGAGAAAGATGAATTATAAAAGAGAGAGAATAATTTCATAAGAGAGAAAAACTATAATTTACTACGTATGTTTTATCATGTCACCGTATCATAAAAAATAGGAGCTCTGGTATCGTAGTGCCTAAGGCACTTGACTGCTAACCAGAAGGCTGTCGGTTCAAACCCACCATCCACTCCTTGGAAGGAAGCTTGGGCAATCTACTTCTGTAGTGATACCACCTTAGAAATCCAAGGGGAGGGGTTGCTATGAGTTGGGTCCAACTTGACGGCATATAACAACAACAACAGCATATAAAAGGAGACGAGTGTCTGAATAATGGGTTACCATGTGTAGCATTGTTTAGTTTATGTGTAGCATCAGAAAACCCACCGATGTTTATTTTCCTGTTTCTGTCTCTTAGGCTCTGTGCTTAGAGCAATTGAAGGCATCACCAGTGCCTTTCTTGGAAGAAACTATCACTACTATCTTTCTGACAGATTCTTTAGGTTCTCTAAAATACTATTTTAATTGACTGTAAGTTGCTCTTTGGAGAACTGAAGTATCATTGCTTACATAGCTGAATATGCTGATTCAAGAAGAAATGCTGGTGACCCAAAATTCTTGTTCCTAGCCCTTATGCAAATGAGCAAACACTGGCCAATGCCTATGTTTCAGTGGGAACAAAATGTAAAGAAAAGCATATGGCATCTTTCTGTTCACATTCTCAAAAAGCTCTGGTGGCACACTGGCTACAGTATTCAGCTCTTTACCAAAAGGTTGTCAGTTGGAACCCACAGGCTCCTTTGTGGGAGAAAGATGAGGCAGTCTGCTTCAATAAAGATTTATAGCCTTAGAAACCCTATGGTGCAGTTCTTCTCTGCCCTGTAGGGTGCCTGTGAGTCTGAATCTTCTCTGTGGGAGTTGGTCTGGTTTGCTGTGGTACCCCCTGTGGGTGGTGAGCACAAACTGGAGACCCAAAGAGTAGAATCTCACACTTGCCTTCCCTGGCAACAGTGGCCCATCTTAGACTTCCTTGCTTCAGCTGAAAAATAATCTCTATGAATACTTCCAGCCTTAACTTTCCAAGGTACAGACACTGGGCCTTATTTGTCTTTCTGTCTCTAGTGCCAAGAGCATGGAAGGTGCACAGTGTATGTTTGTTGAACTTAGAAATATAAGACACATTTTACTCTGGGGAAAGTCCTAGACATTCTCAGCAATTAACCAGCTTCTCTCATTCTGCAGTTTTCCTCTGCTCCCCTGAAGGAGTCTAACAGATAAATATTTATCTTCCCTAAGATCAGGTCTAGGAGTTCTGGTAGCATAGTGCCTAAGGCATTTGACTGCTAACCAGAAGGTGGCTCAAACCCACCAGCCACTCCTTGGAAGGAAAATGGAACAATCTACCTCCTTAGTGATACCACCTCAGAAACCCAAGGAGGGGTCGCTATGAGTCAGATCTGACTGGATAGCAGTGAGAGAGAGAGAGAGAGAGACAGAGAATCAGATCTACCCCAGCCAATAGTCAGATAGTTTAACTTCCCTCCTGTGCAAAGGGTAAAGGAAGTTAAGAAGTGAAGACAGTTTAGGAATGCCTTTTCTAACCTAGGCAAAATATAGAATGATAGAATCATAGATAGATAACTTTATTCATAGATCCCTGTATATCCAAATGTATGGACTGTTTATACTTGTGCTGTCCAGTGTGGTAGTCACTAACCACATGTGACCATTGAGTACTTGATTCATGACTCATCCCAATTGAAATGTGTTTTACGTTTAAAATACTCACTGTGTATCAAAGACTTAAGTATGATAAAAAGATGTAAAATGTGTCCTTAATAGTTTTTATAATGACTACATGTGGAAATAATAATATGTTTGGTATATTGGATTAAACAAAATATATTATTAAAGTTACTTGCACCAGTTTCCTTTTACTTTTTTAAAAAAATACGTGGCTTATAGTAAATTTTAAATTACACTGTGGCTCACATTCTATTTATACTGGACAGGGCAACTCTAAACAGAAGTAAAATTGGGAAAGCATTCATGACATGGTTTGAAGCCTTCGGGAGTTCTTGGAACTTCACCTCATCTCTGGAGGGTCAGCATGTTTAGGTTTGCCTAGTTCAGTCTTATATAATTATGAATATAATTATCATGCTTATTGGCCTTATGTAATTATGAAGAGTGCTTCCCACAACTCTCAGAGGTATACAGGTATGGGTAATGCATTATGTGGTACCTACACGTAACTCTACGTTGTTAATCTTCTTAGGTGCCGTTGAGTTGATCTTTGACTCACAGCAACCCCATGTGACTGAATAAAACTGCCCCATAGGGTTTTCTAGGATTTACATTCTTTACCAAGAATGTGATCTTTACAAAAGTAAGTTGCCAAGTCTTTTTCTCACACAGTGGCTGGGTAGGTTTGAACTGCTGATCTTTCTGCTAGCAACTAACTGCTTAATTGTTGTGTCACCCAGGACTCCTTCACGCGACCTACTAGTCACTTGTATTATTTCCTCAGTGATAAGATGGCAAGCTTTTTAAGAAAACCATAGGAAAATAATACCTACAGCTCATAAGCTGAAGCATACTGTAGAAGTACTTCTGTATGGCAAGGGCATGCAGGCTGGGAGTACAGACTTGGGGACTCGAGCTTACTTCTCTGTCTTCCTGCTTCATAATTCTGTTGGATGCCTTCTCCACGTTAGCCGCGCTGCACTTGATTCCTATGTTTTGATAAGTGATGATCGTGAGGACTGTGTGATGATGTAGCCATGTAGCATCTAATATGGAAGGTAATTTCTTAAAAAGCCATGTTCACTTGAATTTCAGTTCAATATTCAAGGAAACAAAAACAATCAAAATATCCATTTCTTAAATAGAGTATTCATATGTAAGTAATTCACAGCTGGCAGAGCCCCCAAGTGAGTTATGTTCAATCATCCCCAAGAAATG